ATGATTGATAGCGGCAGGCGGAAGCAGCGGCGGCTGGCAACTCACCGGGTGGCTTGGCTGGGCCGGCTGGCGGCTGGCGGCTGGCTGGCTGCCTGGCTTGGGTGACGGTCAGGTCTGGCGGCTGGCTGCGCCGGGTGGCAGGCAGAGCTGGCTGCTGGCTGGGCTGGCAGCTCGGGTGGCTGGCTGGCTGGGCCTTGCCGGGTCTTGCTGGCGGCTGTCAGCTGTCGGCTGCGCTGGGCTGGGGCTGCGCTGGGCTGGCGGCTGGCAACTGGGCCAGGCGGCTGGCTGCTGGCTGGGTCGGGCAGGTGGCTGCGCTGGGCGGCAGGCAGGGCTGACGGGTGCGGCTGGCAGCTGGCGGCGGGCAGCTGGCTGGCTCGGGTGGCTGGTTGGGCGAGTGGCGGGGCTGGGTGGCTGTGCTGGACTGACGGCTGGCCAGCCAGTGGCTGCTGGCTGCGCCGGGCGAGTGGCTGCCAGCTGCTAGCTGTGCGAGTGGCTGGCGGCTGGCTGGACCGGCGGCTGGCTGGTGGGTGGGGCTGGCGGGTGGTGGTGGTAGGAGGGCAGGAGACGGGTGGGCAGCGGCTGGATTTTGCAAAGGAGACAGCGCGCGCACGCAGGGCCTCCTGAGCTGACGTAAGCAGAAAGGGCCATTTTCTGCGCAGGGTAGGGTCGGCCCAGGGCCGTAGGAGGCCCTACGGCCAAAATGCCGTGGCTGCCCCTCAGAAAATGGCTGTGGGTGGCTGTAGGGGGCCCTACGGCCAAAAATACCGTGGGAGATCGCCGATTTCTGGCCGTAGGTGGCCTACGGCCATTTTTTAGCGTACATGACCCCCGATCTCCCAATTTCAGGCCGTAGGGTGGCCTACGGCCAAAATCCACCTGCCCTTTGACGCTAGCTATGAGGCATTGCCGGCAACAGGTGGTGTCACCAACTCACCAAGACAGGGACATGCCTTCAAGGGTGCGGTGGCTGCAGGTGGCGATTGGGTGGCGATGGCAGCGGCGGTCAAAGAGGAAGGCGTCAGCGGGCTCAGCGGCGACTGGTGCAGCAGATACCAACCGCAGGACTCACCTGATGACATTCAGACTTGGTAGCAGTGGCGCGTTGATGTAGGGCGTGGCGGCGAGCAGAGTTCTGACCCGAGGAATGCGATACCAGCAGATTGTCAGCGTGTTGCAGCAGACCGATGGCGGAAGCGCGCTGCGGCGACAGTACTGACCAGGCAAGCGCAGCGCGGCGGTGGCTCTGACAATGGCAGAGTTGCTGTAGCTGGGGCATGCTGCTGGACGGGGGCAAGAGTGAGGGCAAAGGTCAAGAGTGGTAAGGCGTCAGCGCCGATGTGCAGGACGCGGTGGATCGATGCACTCACCTGACAATGGCTGGGCGATTTGCGTTGTCAGGTGGCGACTCCTACGTGGCGCTGAGGTGGACTCCAACAGTCTTGGCCAATGAGGTGTCGGTAGGGGACTGGGTGGCGGCGGCGGCGGCTGCAGTGGTTACTGGACAACATAAGAGGAAGGCAGCAGCATTGTCAGCATTGTGCAAGGGTGAGCCGCGCACAGACATTGCCAATGCGATCGATGCGACAGAATTGGTGGGAGCAACTCACCTGCTGATATCTTGATGATCCCCAAAAGCGGGTAGCGTTTGGCCAAAGGTGGCGTGAAGGGAACTGTAGAGAGGAGCAAGCAAAGGACTGGCATCAGCGCCGAAGATTGGCCGATGGCGACCGCGCGCAGACAGCTCTGTAACTCACCCTAGCAGAGACGGCCTTCATCATGTGGGTGGTGGCGGCAAGTCGGCGATGGTGGTGGCGGCAAACCTAGACTTGTGTCTGCAAAAAAGGCCAAAGAGGAGCGAGATGTCAGCAAGCCTACTTCAGCACGGAGCAATGGCGCGAGGGCAGAGCGGAGCTCAGCCAAACCTGTAGCTGATGAGAGAGGCGGTGGCGTTGGCAAGGATCGTGCGCGGGGTGTTGGCAATGTTGAGAACAGTCAGGTGGTGCAGGGCTGAGGGCGGCTGGGGCGGGACAAGGCAACTGGGGCAGATGCCGGCAGGTGGCATTGACGTTGGTTGGGTG